GCCGATACTTGGCATTTTCATGAGAGCTACCAGAGTTGCAGCGGTTGCAACTGGGACCTGGCTCTGTTGCTCCACCGCTGTCGTGAAATCATTAGTCGATATTGTTTTTTGTTTTTTTTTCCGAAGCCCGTGGACATGCATCAAAACAAACTTCCCCCTGTGAACAAAAAAAGTGAACCGTGAAATCACAGCACACAAAAAACGTGCACAAGGGTGCAAGGTCCTTCCAAAGAAGGGACCTACTTTCCCGACCCCCCGGGGCGCAAGGCTCTTGACAGGGGTTGAGACTGTCGGACCACCAACCCGAAGGCCGGTGGACCGTTTCCGTCGGGGACCTGCCGAAACAGGTCCCTCACAGTACTAGGCAGGGGGGATCTCCCGAAGAGAAACCCCCCTCCTGGGTGGGAGGAGATAGAGAACCCCGTAAGAGGCACAGAATCTCCTCCCAGCATCAGGAATAGGCCCCGAAGAAACCTGCACCTTCAGCATCTGTGGGTCAATGCTTTTTAATAAAAAGCCAATCGTGCAAACGTGCATAGAGTGCATAAATAATAAAGTGCCAGTGCACCACGCTGACAGGCCTTAGGGGCCGAGTGCAAAAAAATTGCCCCGGACTAGCCATAAGGCCTGTCCAAGAGGCGTTGTGCAGAAATAAGCAATGTGGTGTGTGACCGAGTGATCAGTGAGTCAAAGTGGGGTCCCCTACCCAAGTGACTTCCTGAGCACCCCTGGGACGCCACCCCCAGGGGGCACAACACCACGGGCTTCTGCCGCCCCCGAACCCTCTAGCCTTGATCAAGTTTCGGATCCATTCCCATCAGGAGATAGTTCACCTTCAGAGATCCCTCCCCGTGGAGCCCACCCATTAACTAGGGTCGAAAACTCCGGGGCCTGGAACCTCATCCGGCTCCCTACCAATTACGCCAGGAACCTACCGGTCCGTCCATCCACCCCTCATAGGCGACAGCGGACTTTCAGTTCCCGACAACTGATAAGAACAGATACTACACTTGATCTTAGCCAAAAGGCCGAGAAGCGATATCGATATTGTTTTAGAAAAACTGTCACATGACAGTAAACAAAAATGTATCAGTACTCATACTTGTAAGTACTTGGGCAAGTACTTGTACTCGCAAAACTGGTATCGGCTGTGCACATATCAAGTGTTAGTCAAGTTGCATTAAAGATTAAGCAGATCTCAGCAGGCTTGAATATGAAAAGATGTCAGCTCAGCCATAATTGTTGGCCCCCTTTATGGTACATAACGGAACATAACTGTTGTATGTGTATGTTTAACTTAACTAACTGTGTCCCCAGTTATGAATGAACAGGATGTGATTTACATCACTTCCTGTTCATTCATGAATTTCTGAATGGGGAGTAGCACTCACTATTGAGGCTTCTCCCCATTCAGAACCCGATGATAGTAAATATTTTACAGTTTCTGAATGAATGGGAAGCCTCTGTACTGAGTGCTTTTCATTCATTGAGTGCTGAGGCTGCAGAAAAAGAAATTGAGGACTCTGTGTCCTCAATTTCTTTTTCTATTTCAAAAGGTAAATGTCAGGGCTCTGTTTAGACCCAAGATATTTCACCGTAGCCCCCTCAACAGTAAAAAAAAAAAACCAACAAAAATAAAAATAGTTAAAAAAAGTAAAAATATTAAAAATAAAAAAAAATGAGTAAAAAAAAATTAACTAATAATAAACCCCCCTCCACACACACACACGTATAACATACATGCGCACCATATTGTGGTTTACGCCATGCGCTGCAGTGTGTTGTTTGAACGCATCACAGTGCATTATTTTTTTCTTTTTAAAAAAAAACAATTTGCATGGCAAAGCATCGTCACGTATTGCCATGCGTTGTGATACCTTGGGTTGCAATTAAATATACACCTGTATCATTTTATCACAATACAAGCACCAACACAGTGCAAAAACTATATTTAACATAAGTCGCCTATTTACATTTTTACCTTTTCGCAAAAAGGCGCAATTTCAAATTTGAAAATTACTTGTTATTTATTAACTCTATACAGTTTTATTTTTTAGATTTAGTTAGAAAATTATTATTTTGTGCACTGATACTGATTTTAGTGCTTTATCAATTGAATTGTGTTTTTTTATCGGTTTAATGTTAATTTGAGAAACATTTGCACAATTATCGCAGGGCCTACAAATTTAGTAGCACCATCTTTTTATTCTACCGGGCCTGCGCTTTCAGAAAATATATGGTTTGGGGGACTTTTACAAACGCTAGCAACGCAGCAGTTGAAAATCAAATGATTGGGAAAAATTGCAAAAATTGTGTGGCCAGCTGAGGTGCAACATGTTTCGGAGGGCTTGGCAGCGAAAGAGTTAATAGTCAAAAAGGAGTAAATAAAAGAAGTTCATTGTTGGGGTTTATATACACTTTAGGAAAAGGTATACAGAGATATACAGGGCTGCCATTACTGAACTCCTTATAAAGCTCACTACACACACATTGCAATCGTATTTTACATTCTTTGCAATGACTGCTTTAGATTTATTGTGAGTGGCTACCTAATCAATTCCTTCAGTTTTGATTGAACCAGGTTTCTCTACATGGCTATTGTAGGTTTAAGGGGCTGATGTATAAACCTTCCATCCAGTGTATACCTGGGTGAATGCCTGGCCATATGCACGGCATTCCCGCCACTAGACAAAGCCAAGGAGCATGGGAATTGCCTAAGCTACTCTGCTCCATCTAGTGGCAGGAATGCCGTGTGAATGGCATTCACCTATGTGGAGCGTTTATAAATCAGCACTGAGGCCATTGGATCAGCATAACAAATAGGGAAGTTGAAAAAACAAGAATTCATAAAGGTGGTGTCTAGACTGGTACAAGACAACAGATGGGCAACAGTGCATCAAATTACTGCAGATCTTAATCAGGGATCCTCTCAAATGATCTCTGAACACACTGTTCGCCGTACACTGCATCGTATGGGATATGGAAGCCGAAGGCCTGTTCGAACACCTTTGCTGTCTGCAGTTAACAAGATAAAACGTCTCCAATTCGCACAGGAACACAAGGATTGGACAGTTAAGCATTGGAAAAAAGTCATGTGGTCTGATGAATCACGTTTCCAGTTGCATCATGCAGATGGCAGAGTGAGAATTTGTCGGAAACGGCATGAAAGCATGCACCCCACATGCATGAGTACAACCCTTCAAGCTGGTGGGGGCAGTGTTATGGTTTGGGACATGTTTTCCTGGCATGATTTGGGCCCTTTAATTCGTGTGGAACAACGTCTGAATAGCACAACATACCAAAGTATCGTTGCTGATTTCAGGGGATGTGTTTTTTTTTTGTTTAATGTGCAACAAAATGTACAACAATCTAAAGTTATTCATGTACAACAATCCAAAGTTATCTGGTATCACTCCGCCTGTCACGGTAATTGGCGCTATAGAGGAAGTATCGGCTAATGCGGCTTTGCTCCCTCCGCCGCCGCAGCATGCTTTCTACAGCGCCGGCTTTTTTTGCCATCAGGGACAGTGGTACCAGCGGTGCAACAGTGGGGACATCAGACAGTGGACAGGGCGGTAAAGTACAGTACCATTTACTGGTACACAGTACAGTACCATTACATTAAGCAGTGCCTTCAGGGGGACAGCAGTTGGTGAAGTTTGGTACTGGAGTGGTTAAGCATGATATATATATATATATACACACACACACACACACACGTTCAAAAACTACACTAAGCATTGATGTACTCACAGCAATAAACACCATCCAATGCTCAAAAACATGTCGTGCATCCACATCAGTGCATAGCATATCGAATAAATAGTTCAAGTGATGAATTATTACGAATATCACTCCTTTGTTTTGTGTATTGCAATGAAGTAATATCCAAATCACTTCCAGTTCATAAATCACAGTGTCAGTAGTGCTTCTACTTCAATAGTGTCAGTTTCTCTGTACTTTAGTAAAAAACACACACAGTTCTCCTGCAGTGTCCAAATCCAACACCGATCCCCGTGGGGATCACTCACTTAAACTGAGCCTAAACCAGCAACCCTATTCTAATCAGTATAATAAATATCATAAAATCCAGAATTAATAATACAATCTACGATAATAGAATACATTATGCAATAGTCTAAAAAACATTTAACAATGTACAGAAAAATAAAATATCAAGATTATGTGAAAATATAAATATAGAAATCAATAGAGCAACAGAATATCATATTCCTGTCTCATTATACATATCTCATACTTAATATTAGGGATGCACCGATACTAGTATTGGTGGCGATAGCGTGTATTTGGGCGAGTACTCACCCAAATGCTCCGATACTTGCCTGCGATACCGGAACTTCCAGTAAGAGGCAGATCTCCCTCTGACCGGCAATGCCAAGGGAGCATGGAGCTGACTTTTTTCCCAATCAGGAAGCCGGGTGGTGGGTTATGATCCGCCTCCCTGAGTGGTTAGGAAGCCAGGCTGCCTAGCAACAAATGAAGCCGGCTTCCTAGCCAATCAGGAAGCTGGGCGACACGTAATGACTCGACTTCCTGATTGTAAGTACATCAATGCTTAGTGGTTTTTGAACACTTGTATACACATATGTATATATACATATATATAGTTTGAGCACTACCACTTAGGGTGGTGTTGAACCTCTGGGGTTTTTGGTTAGCATTTGGAGGATAGACACCACGTTTATTAATTTTAGTTTTTTCAGCTTGGCACATTTATTTTTGTTTATCTTAATGTTGAGGTGGGCATCATAGTACGTTGTAGCTTGGGTAATTAATCCTTGACACGGGATCCCTTGTCTCTATAGTCTCCATATTTTCTTGGTACGGATTTCCTTTAAATGTGTTTTAGCACTTTAAGTGTAATAATATGCAATTGCATGAAAATGACTAGATAAAAAGCCACAAGCTGGGTGGAAGGTTTATTCCTATAATCTTTTATTACTTTTTACAGCTTTCATTTCCCTTTTTTTTCCTTTCAGACTCAGTGGAGGCCGGAGAGAAACTTGTCCAATCAGCCCTAGATGCATTTGGAAGAATAGGTAACAATGCACACTAGTGAGATCTGTTTTTCTTCTGTTAGGTGATTTACTTACAAACTTAGTTGAACTATTTCAAACAGCATGTTATGTGATTTCACTTATCTGCCTGTGAGCATCTGAGCGAATGATCAGCAAGAACATTGACGTTTTATGTAATTGATTTGCGGACCATTTCATTAATTTGTGTATTGATGTTGTCTTCAGATTTCATCTTCCTCTCTATTTTTCAACGCTATTAACAGCTTCTGAGCATAAAAGTTTCTAAGATCTATCAGCTTTAATAGAAAGTCTTGTTCAGCGGAACTTGGCAAGTATTAATGTTTCTGTGTAAAAACAGTAAGCAATCAATCTAAATGGTAGGAGGGATGCGTTTACCAGACGACTATACTTATGTTGAAAATGCTAACACAGACCACAAATCTTCATCCTAAGTACCCATGTGTCTCTGATGCAGTACATGATGTTCGTTCATTCTATGGATTTTCCTTTTTATGGGCCAATTTCAGATATATTTTTTTTAAAGCCTTTTTTGTATTTTGTTTTATTTTATGCTTCCAGGTAACTAGTAAATAGCTAAGCGCAAAAATGTACACTGCCTGTCCCAAAAAAAAAGTCACCACCTGCATTTAGCTAAGGAAATAGGTCAGACCTTTGTATTGCATAATAGGTCTAGGTTCAGCAACGTGTCCAAAAAAAATGAGGTCAGCTGCCTACCTGAATATAATGAATGACCAAGTTTTTCCATCAATGGTTTGATGGAAAACTAAACAGGGGGATGAACTCACCAGTGTGCTGCTGCTGCTTCATTATTCATTTGCAGGCTGGGGGTGTGTAATTGTCTTAATTGTGCTGGCAGTTGAGTATCTGACTGTGCTGTAGGTAGATGTGCCTAAAGGTGCCCATACACCTTACAATTATCTGCAGATTTTCTGTGGTCAGATGGAAAAAGTGCAACAGATTGGCCCAGGTGGAGATTACTCCATCCACAGATGGATGGAGGAATCTGTTGCACCTTTTCCATCTGACCACAGAAAATCTGCAGATAATTGTAAGGTGTATAGCCGGCTTTAGATCAACAGAATTAGAAATCTTTTGGCAAGTAAAGAAGCCCTGTATATGAATTTCAGTTGTCTTTACAGCTGCTTGCCTTTAGTTTAGCTTTAAACATTTCTTAAAGCAGAACTCCAGGGAAAATATTAACCCTTGCAGTGGGGCTACTCCCGCACTGCAAGGGTGAACTACTTATTTTCGTCTAGGGACTAAAATAGAAAAGTTATACTCGCCTGAACCTCAGAGCTGGCTTGTTTTTAGACCAGCCCTTCCAGTGTCTTTCCCCCTACGCTTCAACAGTCTAAGGATTCTGAAGTCATCACATCCAATACTCTGTGTTTTGGACATGAGGATGCTGAGGGACATACCATAGCTGCAGGAGTAAAGAGGCAGGAGGGAGTGCTGTGACAGCTGGCTGGCTCCGAGGTATGGATGAGTATATATTTTTTTATTTTAGTCCCTAGACCAAAAGGACCAGTTAACCCTTTTAGTGTGGAGGTAGCCCTACTACAAGGGTTGTTAATATTTTCCCTGGAGTTCTTTAAGGCAATCATATAGGACTTAAAGGCAAAGTCCACATTTTGAGAAAAAACAATAAATACAGTCTGTTTCATAAAAGGAAAAAAAACATGTGTCATTAATTTTGCATTGGAGCCAGTAAAGTATTGCAACTGCGAAAAGTTGATCGCAGGTGCAATGCTCTGGCTCCTACAGCCTCTTCTTCCTGTTCATGTCTGTACCTTGGTATGGACACTCGGTAACAGGGATGGGAATGAGAATGAATGGACTACAAATGTCCCCGCACTTTTATTTCATTGGGTCCATCTGCTGCAGTGGCTGATTCTGAAGAAAGGATTGACATTCCAGATTCAGAATACAACAGCAGCTTCTAAGGAGAAGAACCCCACAATTCAGGTAAGTGGGGCACACATCGATGTGACCATGTTTTATGTTACATCCTAAGGACTTGTTCACCCAAGGTGCGGAGCAGATGTAGAGCAGTTACAGAACGCATCAAAAATGCATCCAATGTATTCTAATGGTATTTTGGGCTCTAGTTCACACCACAGCGTTCAGTTCCAGAGCATGTGGAAAAACTGCAGCAAGCCCTATTTTTTCTGCTCTGGAACGCACCAAAACGTATGCAAACATATAAAAAATGCAAGCAAATGCCCTGGAACGCACTGAAAGCCCATTTTTGGCTAAATGGAAAAAAAAAACCACTGCAAAACACCACTGCATGTGCAGAAATCATGCAGATCTGGTGCGGATTTGCTGTTGTGGGGATTAGCTCCAAACAGTACACATTAAGGATGCATCCACTCGCTTAAATCTTCACTTAAAGTGACATTAAACCCTCAGATTTTTGAACATAAACCAATACTGTAATGTGTGCCTTACTGTAATCCGTGGTTGTTTCCCTTCTCTTTGCTGCTTTTCCTTTTAAATCCTCATGTCTTCTCATGCTGGGGGAGAACTTCCCTTTGCAGCTGACTGCCTCTTCCTGTAGTGCTGGCTCAGGTTGCAAACCTACACACAGACACCATGTAGCCATTCCAGAGACAAGGCAGTCTGCTGCAAAACAGAAGTTCTGCCCAGCATGAGAACAGATACAGATTTAAAAGGAAGAGCAGCAAAGAGAAGGGAAACTACCATGGATTACAGTAAGGCACACATTACAGTGGGTTTAATGTCACTTTAACCCCTTCGTGACGGGAGACGTACAGTGTACGTCTTGTCACTTTGTGCCTATATGACTGGCCACGTACACTGTACGTGACGAGTTATATCAGGCTTTGTAATGCCGGTATTTGCTGATTCTCAGCATTTAACAGTCATTCATTAATGTCTCAGTATTGAGGCATTAATTAATGAAATAATTAAGCTTTTTGTAAAAGCTTCTTCCTTTCATTAATGAAAGAATGAAGCCGTTACATGCAAATAGAGGACCGCAATTTGCGATCCCGTATTTGACAGCTCAAAATAGCAGAGAGGCAGCAGTGACTCACCTCACCTCTCTGCTATTTGTTTTGACAGCTCGAGAGCCCGATGTTTGGATACATTTCACTGAAAGGATAAAATGTATCTTTTCAGTGAAATGTATCATTTCTGATCGTCTAGGCACGATCAAAGAGCTTTTAGTGAGATCTGAATCTGACTAAAGTCAGGATCAGTCTCTAAGGTTATTATTAGCTGTTCCTAAGTTTGGATCAGCCTAATAGCCAAAAATAAAATAAAAAAGTTAATTTATCAAGCTGTCATAGTGATTGCTGAACCTGAAAACTAGCTCAGTCATGAAGGGGTTAAGGGCTTCCTTGCCCACTTTTATTAAACGAAAGTTCACAAAATCACCCTCGCAGGGGTTCTTTAGCGTCTCTTGGCAGCACCTGCCCATCCAGCCTCCTGGCTTTACATTTGCAGCACCGCTGCTCCGGCCTCAGACCTCAGGCCACTGTCTGTTCCTCCAGACAGTCAGTCGTATGTTCACCTGCACACGGAGCCCTGAACATTAGCCCTGAACATTAGCCAGCATTCTCTTCATAATGGCTGTGCACAGGTGCACAACCACTCGGTGCTGGTCACTACTAATGTCCCAACCCAGAATTGGAGATTCCATCCCTCCCAATGCTCTTTGAAATCTCCCAGTTCCAGGAACCCAAGCCAAATCCGGAAAACCTGGGAAGATCTGCAAAGCCAGCTCTTTCCCAGTACCGTATTTGCCGACGTATAAGACGGCTGGGCGTATAAGACGACCCCCCACTTTTTGTGTAAAAATATAGGTTTTGGGCTATACTCGTCGTATAAGACGTAATGTTTGCACTTTCTGGAACTGCTCAGCCCCCCCTGGCTGAGAGTCCTGGGTGACTATATTGCCAAATGACACCATGGCATTGCAACGCACTGCCACACTGTGAACAAGCCCTAAAACTGGGTGTAACATGAGAAATGGTCCAAAAGGTGAACTTTGCCTTTAATTCCTAATAAGTAATGGACACTTGTGAGCATCAGAAGTGCTTGTTTCTATGCAGAAAAGGGATCAGGTCCTTCATTATCTGTGTAGCTCATTTGTATATTAGCTGAGTCGGGATTAAAGGTTGCTCTTTGGTCCTAAGGGAAAGCAGATAGAATAAAGATATTTATTAGTAGCGTTCATCGTTCTTTAAAAATAATTGTATGGCAGCCCGCACTAGCAGAAGACATGCTGGTAAGATAGAGCAGTATCATTAGAACACTGCTTTGTTTTATCTTATGACTTTATCTTATGACCGTAATCACAAGTTAGAAGGTATTTTAGTCTGTTCACTTTGACAGCTGCAGTAGTAGCCATTCACAACAAAGATCGAATGCATATGAACGTTCACAATGTTTATATTAATCAAGTGCTTGCTACAGTATATTCATTGCGTAGGTCTGTGCCCTTGTGCTGCGGGGACCTTCTTTCACTTGATATTCAGATCATCTACTTGGTAGTGTCAGAGGAGGTCTGTATCAGAGTCGGGCACATTGCTTGCAATAGAAAAAGTGATTTCTGTTGCTGGTGTTAGGGCTGATATATTCTTGATACAGAGAAGTTTGACAAATACTAAACTTACAAAGCTGTGGCGTTGGATGTCCCCAAGGCTGGAGGCTTGATCATTTTTTTTCTTTGTGTTCACTAAGCAGGGAATTTGGTTGCATTTAAAGAGAATTAACAAAGTATTGTTGAATCATAGGACCCCTGCAATTTGCATAAAACATAAAACAGGATCTTCTAATCTTCCTGTAGTGAAAAGTGATTAGAAAACCCTTGTGTTTTGCCTGCTTGCATCTGTTGTTGACAGGCCATGTTTAATATCTTTTGACTTGCAAAAACGATGGTGTCACTAAAGTGGCGGTTTCTTAATTACTGTAATTCTTTTAAATGCTGAGTTGATGGTCTCCCCATTCTTATGGGATGCCATATTTTATTATTTTTATATAGATTCTTTTACTGTTTTTCTTTAAGTTTCTATATAACATTTTATTGTACACTGTTAATTTACAGTATTTCTATCTATTAAACGTTATAGGGCAAGTCTTTGATCCTGTCTACTCAATAGCCACAAATGACGATACAGAAAAGCTACTGCAGTACTCCCTGTATATGAACTGTTCCTTTTTGAGTGTTATGTAAAACTATTAATGTGTTAAAGCAAATATGTGGGCCTTGAAGCAGAACTTTACAGTGGGTGGGGTTTGCCATAAGGTATGCGCAACATACTTGCACATTATGGGACACTCGGAGTCCGTTCACACTATATGCCTTCGGGCGGTGCTGGCTGTTTTTTTCCTGCGTAGCCCGAATGCAAGACAAGGCAATTTGCACAGTTCACATCACCACGTGGTGTAAAAAAAAAAAAGAAGTATGATGTGCAATACTTTTATAAGCGCACTGCACACTGAACTTCAATACATCAATAAAGTTCTACGGTGATTCAGTGGCATCTGGAGATGTCTGCTGTACAACTTTTTTTGGTGCCTGCAGATTCACTTTAAAGAAGTATTAAAGAAGAACTTGGGGGGGGGGGGGGGGGTTTGTGT